ATTGTATTATATATTATTTTGAACACGTGGCCAGCCATTTCGAAATCCGCGTTTCGATTCGAATCTGGACTTGTTAGTCGTTGAGGATACAGTTGATTCGTCTGTCCTTGGGTCACGGGCCCCTTGTCCTGTTTTTTTGTCATTTGGAATAATAATTGGCGCCGGAACGTTTTGTTTGAAAGAGTTAAGCTCACAGCTTATAAAAAAGTCGCCACCCTTGAGCATCATTCACTCGCGACTATTTTCGCTAAGTGGGTTCATGGTTCTTGAAAAATGAGTTTACGTGCATTCTTAATTATGACTACAACAAAACCACATGCTCAAACCTTGATTCGGTATTGGCGATGGTTTCCTCACATTGCTGCTCAAATATATTGATTGTGGGCCGAGAAATGAATTAAAGATCAAAGCATTTTCTAGAAATGTAACAGGGCATTGTAGCGAATGTATGCTGCTAATTATGTTTATGAAACGTTCTTGTGTTTGTTTTTTTTCTAGAAAGATACATTTCCACTACTATGAGATTATTTACTCATAATGAAACAATCAGGTATACATATAATCAGTCCTTCATTAAATCGCAAAAGTCTGGGAGTATAAATACCAAATAGGCATCGGATCGGCAACTCAAATGGCGACCTTACTGTACACAATAAAAAAAACTTGGACTGCATATTGTTACATCAGCCCGTTATTCAAAAAGCCTTACGGGGTTTCTAGCTAAAATTATGAAATTAACTTGATATGAAAAAGAGCATTTATACAGAATGAGTACCAGATAATAGAGCGGATATTTTGGTCTTATGAAACTAACTTCGCTTTTTAATAATTTATATCCGAATCTGGAGCCTGGCAACTGACCTCCCAATTCTGGGTTTGACAACCAAGAAAGGGTCTGATGGCCTATCATTTGCCACACGTCTGAGCCCTGAGTTCGTACGGTCGACTGACGAAAGCCAATAAGCACCATAACTTTTTGTCACTGAAATCTGAATTGTGCTCCCGGTTCAAACAGGTCAGAATTTATATCAATAAAGTCTTCTGAATAAGGATATATTCATATTTAAACGCCTGATTTATCGTAATGGAGCACAGGACAAATCGGCTAATAATGTATTTTTGCACGTAAATTAGTAAATGTTAGGGACAATGGATTACTAAGGCCTGCGTGACACACCCTGCTGACAAATGGCTTGGCCAATCTTGGTTAACCGAACAAGTGAAGAGCGTTTTTCTGTAGACTCAGTTATTTCAAGGGAGACCATGAAAGGTAATCAATTTTAGTACTTCATGCAATTTAATTACCTCAAATAAACTGAACTTGACTGAACGATTTATTGTTTTTCAGTAAAACATTAATTAGTAATGAATTTTCAAACATGACTACGTCCATATTTAAAATTTTACGCAAACGACTATGCTTTTTAATGTTTAGTGCACACATCACTCGGATAGTCTGAATCTTATTTCAAGTTCAGTAGGGCGGAATTCATTGTCCGGCTACAATGTAGGCTATAGTAGCCAAGGGATCTTCCTTTTAACGTGTGCATTGGCAGTGAGTTCAAAACACGTTGTACATCGAAATAGTAATAATTTAGAAAAAGAAAAAATGTCTTACATCAGACGTACTTTTGGAAATACTTATTCCTAAATCAGTGGGGAAAACACTACTTGGAGTTGAGTATACTAAAATGCAAACTATGACCTGGATTTTAATGTTTGCTCTTTTGAAATATTAAAAATGCGGCTCGGGGGGATTTCTTAGAAACACTGACGCTCCTTTGCTCACATTTAACGTAAGAATGCATCTATTTCTCAAAATAGCACTGCTATCGAATTTTAAATTAAAAACATTACCAATTTTATGGTGGCTATTAGATATTTTTGAAAAGTGGCACAATTGCCCCTTCTTTATGCCTCAAAAGACACAAACACCTTTATAAAGTAATTATTCTTTGCAACGGGCTTCAAAAAGGTGTCTGGAATGTATATTATAGATCGTTGTTCGTGTGCCGTTACCTCGTTTGGTTAGTGGTTGCGTATATAATCTTTCTAATATGTTTTTTAAGAGCTCAAAGTGGCGTTTCATTTGTTTACTCCTGCAGCCGTTCTGAATTAATTTCGGGTGTTATTATTAATTGAGAACGCTTTACACTATTATTAGGTCAATAATAACAATATTTTTGATACTGCCGTTTCATGTTCCCATGTGTATTTTTCTGATATGCAGTGTCTTTTATTTTAACTTATTCTTGTATATAAAACTAATTAGATTATATGAGTTCTCTAAAGAAGACTTTTAGATGAAAACACATGCCCTGTGATTTCTATTTGTATGTGAAATATTCGTATAATTTCATCATGATACGTTTAGATTGCAAACCTAGATTCAGGCTTTCCGCATAGAAAAAGAAAGTTATTTGGTTGGTCTATTATCACAATTTTGGTAACTACAAGACTCAATAAATGCCACTTAGGTGCGCAAAATACAGTATGGCAAGTCCTGCAAACAAATTTCATGACGAAATTTAACTTAGTAGTTTAGCATAAAGTTGGACAGGTTATTTTGACCAACTGAGTGGATTTGTTAACTAGAAAGGCTTTAGTTTGGAAAACGGCCATCTTACTTAAAGTTATGGAGTCAAATAGGCACTAATTTTGGCATAGTCATGAGTAAGTTTATATTGAACAAATTTCCTATGCTATAAAGCACGATAGAACCAAAGTTTTTACTAATATGCATTGTGCTGTGGAAGAAATCCAGAATAAGTAAAAAATTGGAATAATAATCCCTTCCAGAACTAGAAAATTTTGTACAAAATTGCTGGAATGAAAATTATGCCAAGTTTAAGGAATCGCATTTTGAGTGTTGAGATTTGAGTGTTGAAAGTTATTGTTTGCTAATATGCGAAGTTTTACGCCATAAAAGCCAGTTTTATAAATTTTTA